AGCTAGATCCGTCGAGAGGAGCCTGTAAAGTGGACAGGGAAGAGGAAGAGCATACAGTCCAGAGGAGGCGAACGGGATGAGGCTAACGTAGGTGAACACGAGGATGCGCAGGCACACGAGTAGGACCAGGAGTAATAGTGTCAGTAGTAGTCGGTCCAGGATCAGGAAGATTAAGAGAAGAAGTAAAAGGACCTCCCAGGGAGATATTATGATGGAGGTGAGTAATGATGTTCAACCTCCTGGTGATCCTGTCGGTCAGTGTCCAGGTCAGTCTCCTCGTTACTGAATCCCTCCCTCATCCTAGTAAGTTCCTGCTCCTGCTCCTGCTCCTGCTCCTGCTCCTGCTCCTGCTCCTGCTCCTGTTCCTGCTCGTGGTCGTGCTCCTGCTCCTGCTCCTGCTCTTTTTTCTTCTTCTCCTGCTCCTGCTCCTGCTCCTGCTCCTGCTTCTTCCTCTTTGTTTCTTGTTCTCCTACCTTCTACCCCACCTTCCTTCCTCTCTTTTTCATAATTTTCGTTCAGCTCGAATAGGAACAGAATTTTCCATCGGCGGAGAATTCAGGTACTTGGATCCTGAAGTCTTTTCTCCCTTCCTTCTCTACCTCCTCCTTTCCCTCCCCCCCTCCTCCTTCTCCTTCTCCTTCTCCTTCTCCTTCTCCTTCTCCTTCTCGTTCTCGTTCTCGTTCTCCTTCTCCCCCTGCTCCTGCTCCTGCTCCTTCTCCTTCTCGTTCTCCTTCTCCCCCTGCTCCTGCTCCTGCTCCTGCTCCTGCTCCTTTTGCTGCTCCTGCTCCTCCTTCTCGCCTTTCTCTTCTTGTCTGTTTCTTGTTCGTCTGACGTCCCAGCAGTCGACTTGAGTTCTATGGTAGAGGGCCGCATGAGACATACACAGACAGGTGAAGGGAAGGAGGGAGGGAGGAAGAGAGGAGAGGAGAGTGTGAAGCAAAGCGGGGGAGAGAGCAGGAGGAGGAGGAGAAGGAGGTGGTGGAGGAGGAGCAAGGTGATTGAGGATTTGGAGCAGATGCTCTGGGGGAAAGATCGCAAGACATTCCATGTCGGTGGCAGACACTTATGTGATATTCCTGCTCCTGCTCCTGCTCCTGCTCCTGCTCCTGCTCCTGCTCCTGCTCCTGCTCCTGCTCCTGCTCCTGCTCCTGCTCCTGCTCCTTCTCCTTCTCCTGCTCCTGCTCCTGCTCCTGCTCCTGCTCCTGCCGATCCCTCTTCTCTTCTACTTCCCTCCCACTCATTGTATCCTTCGTTCCCTTCCTCTCTCTCTCACCGTTATTCTCTCCTTCTCGTCCTGTTCCTCCTCACTCGTCGTCAGGTGCCCTACATACTGCCCTGCGAAAATGGAAATCATTGCGATGTAAGAATCCTCCTCCCTGGTCCTGGTCCTGGTCCTGCCCCTGCTCCTACTCTTCGTCCTGCTCCTGCTCTTTGTCCTGCTCCTGCTCCTGCTCCTGCTCCTGCACCTGCTCCTCCTGCTCCTGCTCCTGCTCCTGCTCCTGCTCCTGTTCCTACTCTTGCTCCTGCACCTGCTCCTGCTCCTGCTTCTCCTGCTTCTGCTCTCTACCACCACTTCACGACGTCATTCACTGTCTCCTCT